AGTTGGGTCTGTAAAATTCAAATCGATTAGTTGTCAACTTTACAACTAATCGATTAATTCAATTTTCGATTTGTAACACTATCAAAGGGCTAAATATTTGTTAGTGACTAATGGTTCTAATTTATTGAATACAGTCTAAGATTTTAACTTTATAGAAACTGTATATACCTTTTTTGACATTATAATCTTATCTTAATGTTAATAGTTTCAATATTTTCATCTTTAATTACTGCGATCTATAAAGAAATACATATTCAAACCTCAGATTTTTTAGAGGGTTTTATAAAAGCGTTAAATAATTATATTTGAAACGATTTTTTTATTTTTCTCGATACTTATTGTAAAAGTCGTTATCTATGTCTCAATAGTTTAAGATGTATGAAATACAAAAATTAACAAGTGATTCAAAGTTATTAAATAAAGAAAATTAGTAAAGATTATTTATTATATATTTTAAAGCTTTGTTTCTCTACCCTCATTATATCAATATAGTTAGGTCTGACCTTTTTTTTTCAAAGATTCGATACAAGCTATTCTTAAATTATTCAGTTAATCTATTATATTTTTTTGTTATATAATTAATTTTGCTCTGATATTTTAGTGTTATTGTAATATTATTTTGCTCAATTTCTAATAATCTATTTAAATTTTCAAATAACATGCCTTCTGCTTATTATTCTCAACAATAATTATTTCACCAGATGATCCATATAAGCAGATTTCTAATAATAATATTCGAATATCTTGAATTCATTTAAAACTGATTTTACTAAGAATAATTAAAATTATTTGAGTTGGCAGTTTTTTAATAATAAGTAATATGTCTTATATTTATCTTTTTGATGCCAATTCCTTTTCTTCTAAAAATTCATAGTATGAAATGTTAATTTTAGTCATTTAAAGTGGATCTATAAAAAAAAAAGAACTATGTCTGTAATTAATTGAAGCGTTCCTCGTGATGATTATAATAAATTTATATATATAATTTAATATTTTCTAATAAACAAAGTAACTTAACTTTTTTCAAAAAATTATGAAACTTCACTTTTTTTAAAAAATTATAATATCTATTAGAATTGAATAGAGTTTTGAGTACACGCTACTGGATAATTAAGGTTATTATACAACTTCTGGTCAAGTAGCTTTTTTTTGGTGATTTTGTTAATTCATCAATTGAATTACAAATAGAGTTTCATATTCACTCACAATAAAGGAATCTTTTTATAACAGGTGAAACCCACGTTGTGAATTAGTAGAATCTGCTATGTAGATCACATGAGGGTGAAATTCACTTTTGCATAATAAAAAACATAGCTAAGCACAGATTTTACTCTAATGTGATCTATGTAGCGGATTTTACTAATTTACAATACGGGTTTCATCTAGTCCTATCTTTATTTGATATTTTAATGTTAATACATTCATTACTCATTGCTATTAATAAAAATATATATATTAATGAAGTTAAATTCTAAATAAGCAAAAAATGATTCAACCTTTTGAATAAACTTATCAGAATATTTACTTCTACTAACCTGCTTTGCGAACTAAATCTAATACGTGAATACAGAACACTTTTAATATTACTATGTAAGTGGTACACAATTTCTTAAAAAAGTTTATATTAAATAAGTTAACAAAACACAGCTATTAGAGATTTGAAAATGATAGATCATATTTCATTACAATATTATAATGCAATTATTATCTGCAGACTTTAGCTTTTTTTTTTTTTAATATTATGAAAATTAAATTCTATAAAATTAAATAAAACATTACTTACAAATTTTTAGTTTCTTGCTTATATTTTCTCAAAAATGATATCTACATTATCATCGCTCCAACCTATTTTATTTAATGAAGAAAACTGCATCAATTTCTTATTCAGTAAAAGGATACTTTATGAACAGCCCAATTGTAGTGTATGTGAAGCTAGAACATCGAGACATAGCAAAATCTTCAAGTGCAGAAGAAAAAGATGCAGGAAAGCCGTGTCGATTTTTAAGGATTCATTTTTGCTAAAACTCGATTGAAGGCTAATGAAGTTCTTCTAATCAGCTATTTATAGCTTTCCAAAGCATCACATAATTCAATTATAGCCATCACAGGCCATTCTCCAAATACAATAACCAACTATGTCAGTTATTATAGGTCACTAGTTTTTTTTTTTTTTTTAAAAAAAAAAAAAAATTCTTGCTAACTAGGTAAAAAATTTTTCTATAGAATGCTTGTTAGCTTTGATGTTCAAGAGACTCAAAACAAGATTGGGGCCCAAATATTGTAGTAGAAATAGATGAGTCAAAGTTCGGTAGCAGAAAATACAATCGCAACCATCGTGTTGAGGGAGTTTGGGTCTTCAGTAGTGTAGAGAGAATCTCAGAGAGAAGAATTTTTGCAAAAGCTGTTGATAATAGAACTGCTGAGACCCTACTTTCTATAATTGAAGAAAATATTGATTCTAGATCTATTATTTATTTAGACCTGTGGCGTACTTACAGAAGAATAGGCTCTGATTTAGAGATTCAGCATCAAGTAGTAAATCACAGTTCAAATTTTGTTGATCCTAGTACAGGAATCTATATAAACACGATCGAAGAAACCTGGAATGGTATTAAAATTCAGTTTAATTATTTAGTCGATTTAAATTTTTTTAAACAAACTATTGAACGTCTACTTAAAAATTTTTAATAAATTAAAAAAAAAAAATACCTATTGGTATTTTTGCTACCATATAAAAGTTTGCTCATTTAGGCTGATCTTTAGAAGTTTACATTTTTTTAATCTTGAATAATTTTTGATCTTCTGGTCTGTTACGAATATAACAAACCAAAATGTTTGTCTCAATAGTTATTCCATTTAAAACAGACTAGTAGATCAAAATTTATTTAAGATTAAAAAATATAAAATTTCAAAAATAAGTCTATATATATTTCTACCACAGGTAGTAATTTTTTATTAAAATTTTTTTTTTTTAATTTAGATTCCATCAAGAAATCATACAAGATCTAAAGTTTCAGACCATTTGTTTGAATTCATATAACATTAGCAGAATCAAGAGAATCTTTGAGAAAAAATGTTGGAATGTATAAAGAATACAGGATATTTTGAAGATGAAAAGGACGAAGAAAAAAATAAAGAGGAAGATAAAGAGAATGAAGAAGAAGAGTATGGAGAAAATGAAGGGGAAGACGAGCATAATGATGAGAATAAAGAAAATGCAAGAGTGGAAAATAGAGAAGAGGGTGAAAATGATGATAATGATAATGAGAATAATGAATACGAAGAGGATGAGGATAGAGATGATAATGAAAATGACAATAGTGATAATGAGAATAATGAGAACAAAAGCAAAAATAAAGATAGAGAATATAAAAATAATATTAGTAATAGTGAAAATAAAGATGAAAATAAAGATGTGAATAGAGAAGATGGTGATGATAAAAGTAATGAAACTATGAGGTCTTTGCCTTGAAAATCATGTTATAGGATATAATAATCATATATCCCATAACATGATTTTCAAGGCAAAGACCCTATATGTTATTATAAATATTATTTTTTAAAAAATTTAATATTATTTACTTACCATAAGCATCAGTAACTATCTAAAATTAACTTTTCATATTCAAATCGTCAATCCATTATCTGTTAAATAATTATAATTAATACTAAACAATAAATAAATTAATTTTATTTATCAAAACTATAAAATATTTATTTGAATAATGTAATATAGTATATTTAATAAATTGGCTTTATAAATTTCATATTTGTAAATATGTTATTAAAGTATGTTTTAAATGCATGCACTTAACCTTTTTCAATTTTTTTTCTTTTAATTTAATTAATTTGATAAAATATTTTCATTACTCTGCCATTCCATTTGATTTCACAAAGCTTTATTGTTAATAGTCAATTTATTGGATCTTTTTTTCAATATTTCTTTCTTAATATACATAACGTTGTAATGTGTTCTCAATAATTGTTGATCATAAATCATTCCGGCATATTTCTACTTGAAGTTGTGTTTTAAAATCTTGATTATAAGATATAGGATTTCTATACAAGATTTTCTACATTTTATTCTGAATGAGTAAATGCTTGATGCTGTTGTATATTGACATCTATTCAAAGCTTCAGTTTTATAATCTTATTGAAAGTCCTAACTATGTAATATATGCAGTATGTAAACTATTTTGTAAAATACTACTGCTATATAATCTCAATGAATAAGTTCTTAAAAAAAAAATTAGAAGGGATATGATTTTCATAAAACTATTACTCATTAATTCAATTATAAGTGAATTTTTGAGCCAAAATACTTTCATAGTATCCTTAATCTGAAGAAACTCTAAACGTCGTGGTGGTAATTTTTATTGTATCTAAAGATGTTAAAAATATAAATGAGTACTTTCATAAATGCCAAAGATGCATAATTAATAATAGGGCTCTAATCAAATAATACTTGTGAGTAAGTTTATCTACTAACAATTCATATTCATAGCAATGTCTGATATGGTATATTCTAACAGTATGCTCTTATCAGTAAACTTTTCTGATGGTAATTAAAAGTCATTTACATTACTTTAACTCCTCTTTCATGAGAAAGATTTAAAATTTTAGCTTAATATAATTAATATTTATACTTACACCCTAAAAAAATAGTTTCAAGAATCTCTAATTTTAAAATGTAAAAAATTCAAACATATTAATAAAGGCTGTTTTGTACTATTTTTGTATCTGTAGTAAATAGCAGTTTTAAAAATTTCTGGATAATTATCTGCTTTAGCTAACTTCAAATAACATATTAACACTTTAACTCCAATTTTTTTTTAAATAATAAACCCCAACAAAATAATATAGATCAGACTTAGCTTAGTAAAATGCAGATCTCTTAACCACAACTAAAATGTTTTACTACTTAGGATCTTAACTGGGATAGACTTAGATCAGTAAAACGCTGGTTTCTTAATTTTTTTTTTAAAATAAAAACCCTAATAAAATATTTCAGATTAGACTTAGCTTAGTAAAACTCAGATCTCTTAATTACAACTAAAATATTCTACTACTTGAGATCTTAACTGGGATAAACTTAGATCAGTAAAATGCTGGTCTCTTAAATATGGTTAAAAGTTTCTATTACTTGCGATCTTCACTTTCAACTTGGAATTTGTATAACAATAAGGTTATAACAAATAAGGTTTTTGTGTAATATAGTGATAGCAAATAATTCGGGTTAGATAATACAATAGGTCACCTTATCACATAATAGCGTTTCTGAAAAATTTGCTATACTATATTTGATCCTAATAAAATTTTCAGAAATATAGAAATACTGGGATAAGTTATACTATATTTGATTCTAATAAAGAATTAACGCAAGAACAAAAGAGCAAAATTAAAGAATTCTTACTCAAAGAAGAAACTTTATTTGCACAAGGGCTAGAAAATTTAGGCTATACTAATGTTATCACCCATAGTATTAATACAGGTGACACTGTTCTGATTAAACAAACATATTATAGAGCTACTTATAAAGAAATCCTTGGATATTGCTGATAGTCATAATACCAAAGAAGAACAGTAAACTATGCTTTTGTGTAGATTATTGGAAGCTAAACTTGATTACTAAAAAGGATATATATCCGCTTCTACATATCAATGATCACCTAGATACCTTCAGTATAGCCAAATAGTTTTCCACTTTAGATCTAATAAGTGGATATTGGCAAGTAGGAGTAAGCAAAAAAGACGTAGAAAAAACAATATTTATAATAAAATATAGCACTTACGCATTTAAGATAATGCCGTTTGGTCTTTGTAACATGCCAGGAACTTTCTAATGATTGATAGATACAGTGCTAGGAGATTGCATCAGAAATTTTATTATAGTATACCTAGATGATATTAATATTTATTCAAAAACATTAGAAGAATATTTAAAACATCTAAAATATGTTTTTGACAAATTAAGAAGAGCAGAATTAAAATTAAATCTGAAGAAGTATACCTTTTTTAAATCAGAAATTAATTACTTAGACCATATAATTAATAAGAAGAGTGTAAGATTTGATAAATCTAAGGTCAAAAAGGTGAAAAAATTTCTCATACCAGAAAATCTATACTAATTGAGAGGATTCATTAGATTAGCATCATATTATTGTCATTTTATTAAGGGGTTTGCAATGATAGCCTGACCCTTATATAAATTGTTAGGAAAGAATATCTCTTATAAATAAACTGAGAAACAACAAAAGGCATTTAAAATATTAAAAAGATACTTGAAGAAGGCTCCTATATTAAGGTATCTAAATTTTAAAGAACTATTTTATCATTACAGAAGCACTAATGCCTCTATCTGCAAAACTAAAATTCATTCCAGAATACCTACAAAAAGCAATTCCTTTCAACTTGCCAATCTCAAATCGGCAACTTATTGCACCTGTTGTCAAAACTTTACGATTAATATTCTCATTTATAGAATGCCTGATACATATATTTCAGATATCAGAAAACCTCTGTCTATATCTTACAAGCAACTAAGAGATGAAGTATATGATCTTTTTCCTATCACAAGCAGAGCAGATCTACAAAGCTTCTTTTAACAAATCCTAGCAGAATATTTTAACTTACCTGCTCCTAAACAACTATTATCTTGTACTCCACAAGATCTAATACTGAGACTAAGAGAAAAATTGTCCTTCTTGCCTAGAAGCCAAGAAGACTTTAAAGAGTATATTAGATTTCTGTGAATAGATTACTCGTTTACAAGACTCTCTAATAATTATATTATCTCTTATAAATGTTTACCTTTAAACTCAATGCAGCTAAAAATAACAAACTTCAGGTTTCCTCTACAAAGCAAAGAAGAGGTGAATACTTTTATTAAAAGTATCCCATCTTTTTATAATATTCCAATACTATTATCATAAGTATACTATAACTTCAACTATATAAACCTTTCTGACTTACCTGAAGATGCTGAATTAATTACTTTTGTCAATTTGATACTACCAATCTCAACTTCTAAAGAATTAAGTATTGCAGCTAAAACATTATACAAACACTATTATTTTCACATCATACCTTAATTCTGGATTAATATCAAAAAAAAGCAACCAGAAACTGAATCAAATTTAACTAAATTACTACTAACAATTGAACAACTTCAATCTGCTCTTCAAGAAAAAAAATTACTAATATAAACAATCCTATAAAGAAACATCATAATATCCCATTGGTATTGGAAACTCTTCGACAACACTTCACATACCATACAGTATCAGAATATATTTTTGATTTAATTGATCTACCAGAACCATCCTTTGATATCTTTGAAGAACAAAAAACAATTACAATATCAAACCCAAAAGAAACATCCACAACAATTACAGATACTCAAATATTCAAAGCAGAGCCAGACTCTAACACAGATAACCAATGAGCACACATCCTTCAACAGAAATTCTGTCATCTGCAGAAAATGTGAATATATCAAAACAACTAGAACTAGATTTACATAGAAAAATTAACATAGCTACTCACAACATCAGAGGTTTTAACAACTCTTTAAAAGTACAAACTTGAGTTAAATATTGCATAGAAACAAATCTACATATAATTTCTTTCACTGAAATGAAGCTAAAAGACTCAGCAACAAGATCACTAACTAATTTATTCTATAAAATATTTACTTCAAACTTCTTATCATATAAGCCAAATCAACAAGAAACCAGTCTGAGAATGGCTCTAATGATATGCAATCAATTGCAACTATATATTTATAGAATTCATACCTTCCCTGAAACAGAAATCTGTATTGACTTTTATTTTCTAAACGATAACAAGTCTTGAATTATTTCAACCTATCTTCCATCAAACTATTCTTTTCTCCTGAAACAAACCCAGTCTCAGCCACTTAATTTGACTACTGAAGCCAGAGCTAAAACCTGGTATTTTATAATTCTGGGAGACTTTAATGCTAACCAACTTTGAGATAAACAACTTCCTATCTTTACCAATTTAAATGCAGCTAATCTGATCAGCCTTCTAATATTTCACAGCATCTAAGCACTAATCTGGCAGGGCTTAACTACAACCAGTCAAATAGATGACTTCTGAATTTCCTCAGATATACTCTTGGCTATCAATATCTCTTAGCTAATTAATCCTTTAAACATTTCTAAAAGCAATAACTGTATCTTATATACAGTATGGCACACAAATTTCTCACCACAAAAGTGTCTAAAAAATAAAAAGAAAAAGTGAAAAATATATTTGTACAAAAAAATGACATCAGAAAACTAAGATAAATTTGAAGAATCAATAAATAACCTCTTCAACCAACAACTCACTTTTCTCTCAAACATAAACAAAGACAGCACCAATAGAGTCTAGAACTCTTGGGTAGCAAAAGTTAAGAAAGCAATGAACAAACACATCCCATATATGTTTACTGCTTCAAAACCCTTCTATACTTTATCTCTAAAAGCAACCAAACTATACTCAGCTCTAAAAAATATTAATAAATACATAAATTGCCTTTCAAATAACTTAGTGATTAACTTGTCAAAGGCAAACCTATACCTGCTTAAAGCAGCTACCTTAGCAGATATTGACATTCTACCAATAATACAAGAACAACTCACATCTTCTCTTACCATCACTATAAGCCAAGTAAAGCAGTATAAACATATTATCTTGCAAGCACATAATTATGAAAAAAAGGCAGAAGCAAAGCGAATAAATTAAATTCTATATCAACCATAGATATTTAGACTTCAAAGACAATACTAGTGTATAATAAATAGTATCTTACAAAAAAGAGTTGAACCAATCAGTTTTGAGAAGGTTGTTCTGCCAGATGAAGTAATTATAGATAAAGACAAAATTAAAGAGGCAGTGTGCTTATACTTCAAATCATGAACCAAAAGCAATCTCTCTAACAACACCTTTTGAGAAGAATGAGAATCAACTTACCTTCTACTAAACAATATACAAGAAACTATTTATGACAATCTTCTCACCTCTATTACTATAACTGAACTTGAACAAACTATAAAATTAGCATCTAAAGGGAAAGCAATAGGCCTACTTAAGATTTCAAATAAGAATCTCCAACATCTACTTTCAGTAGTTCTATCCTCACTTCTAAATATTTTAAATAGTTGTTTAGCTCAAGAAATAATCTCAGACCAGTAGCTAATAGCTAACATTTGGCCAATACTGAAAAAACAATATTACAACTATGAGCTCAACTCTATCTGCCCCATTATATTAATTGATCACACTAGAAAGATCTTTACAAAGATCCTTACAAACTACCTTACAAATATTCTAGTCCAGAATCAAGTGCTCTCCCCCTATAACTATATAGCTTTCCTATTTCAGTCTACACTCTAACCAATCTCACAGCTTACACATATTTTAGAAGATGCAACTATGAATGAGAAAGAAATTTGGATCCTTTCACAAAATATATCAAAGGCTTTTGACTCCATCCATATACCCACTCTATGCAAAGCTCTTGCAAGAATACGTATCTCAAAGAAGACTATAAATCTACTATTATATCTACTTCAAAATCAAAAGAACAAAGTGATTACAAGCTTAGGCCTAACTGCACCTTATATAGTAGAAGACAGTATAGATCAAAAAGAGACAATTTCCTACTTATTATAGAAAATCTATTATGATCTACTAATAATGAAAATATACAAAGAGCATCAGAGGAATAGCTTCGCTTCAGCTGAAAAAAATCCATGCCTCAGTAATAACATATATGAATGACTCTCTATGGATCGCATTAAACAAAGAATCACTTACCAAAATCCTCAATACTACCTCCTCATTCTACAGATTTGCCAGTATAAAGATCAACCCACAAAAGTCTATCTTGGTAACAAACTCAACAGCTCAGAACAAAACTATAACCTTTAATAATAAATAACTAACCGCAATCACAAATAGAACACCTTTTAAATATTTAAGAGCATGGTTTTCAACAAATAGAAAGCCAACATTAGTACAAAAAAAAATTATGGCTGTAGCAGTAATTAACCTAAAGAAGCTACAATTTGCTTACATAACAGAAAAACAAGCAATTTATATAATTAATAACGTTATAACTCCTCGCCTTCTATACCAACTATATTCTTCTTTTCTTTTATCTTCACAAACAAACACTCTCAACAAGGCCTGCATTCAACTAGTCAAAAACAAAGCAAAACTGGCACAAAAAGTTTCTAACTCCTTTTTATTTAACCCAGATATTTACACATTAAACAATCTAGCTCAAGCCCAGCTTTCAACATTGGTACTAACACTTCAAAAAAATCCAAACCACTTTAGCTTTAACTCATCCTTTCTAAAGCTATAGTTGCAAAAACTACAAGATGCTGCAAATATCAACACCTCTATCCTTTTACAACTTCCAGTTTTTCTAACTATACAAACCTATACACAAATTTGTCAAATAATATTGGCTTTGCATACACTTGAATTACAAACTTCATGAAACAGAGACAACTGGTTTCTTCTGAAAGAATTCATTGGTACTT